ACCACCGCACGCACCGGGGACGCGAATCTCCTGTCAAGTGCCCATGAAGAGATTCACAGCACTAGGAGACAGTCAATGTAGACAGCTGTGACACTCGGGGCCTTAGAGGCAGGTCAAAGATAACCATGGGCGGACCCAGGTTGACGACCCTGGTTGACCCCTCCCCTCCATCATCCTTTCCTTTACGAGGATGAAACAAGACGCCACAAGGTTTTGAATAGCCACCACAAGACTGTATAAGGCGATTAGCGAGAAAGCATCCAACGTTTACTTTATCTACGCACGAAGGTCGATTTCAACGACTATCGAGGACGGAGGGAAAATACACTTACCGAACCAACGGTTAATAACAACCACATTGTCAAGTGATAAGCCCAAGGCTGACCGGAACTAGCATGTACATACAGTAACGTTACATACACATGGCTGCAGCTGTATTCACCACTCACCCCTTGTCTTTAGCGTTCCCTGTCGTGCTACAAAAGGACGAACAGCACTTAGCAGCCAGTCTGCTCACTCCAAGTTTACCATCGTACCGGCATACGGCCAGCAGCCTGCGCGCTGTTTGGAAACACCGACAGCGCGCTGACTCACTCCCTGGCGTTTATCATAGCTAGAGCAAATATGTGAGAACTGGGCGGCACGGGCGCGCTACACGTGACGATCTCGTGCGCGCAATCTTCATATCAAGGTCCGATGCGTGCAGACGTGTCTCCTTTTCCAGGCTTCCAAGCCTCCCACTCACAGAGGCACATATGCATGAAACTCGGAATGAACTGGCATAAAGGTCAGAGGTCGGCAGGAAGGATGCCGATCAATACGCAATCAGTCCTTCTACTTGTAGCTGCTGCCCTCCTCAGATGCAGCCTGAGTGTCAGCCTTTTAGGTTTCGTCGGCTCCCCACGATCCGCTACCGGCCAGTAGAGGACGAAAGCTAAAAAGGCTCAGACACTCAGGCTACCTCAGATGCACTTCTCAGCTGAAGATGAGCGGTTGCTATAGTAACGTGATGCCCGAGATAAGTTGTCATGCAACAGCTGCGAACAGACAAAAGATGGCGGCAAATGTCCTGAAGCACTTGCAATGCGATCAGTACACTGAGAAACCATGGGAAGAAATAATAGAGGCCCCTTTCCCACTAGGATAAAACTGTCCGGATCGAGCCAAACTGATTCGGATCAAAGCCGGATCAAAGCCGGCTATTCGGCTCGATCCGGACAATTTCATCCTAGTAATAGGGAAGGGGGCCATAGTCCATAGTGTCCTTCATTGATAATGCAGATGTGGGATTATATCATTCATATATCATCGTCTAATTACAAAACATAAGCATATGTTTTGTAATTAGACGATGTTCACATCATCAATACCCAGCATGGAGCATGTACAACTTGACCTTTTTTAAACCCTCATATCACTGCGTCATGGTAAATTTGACGATAGTGTGTTTTGTGTACTGTAGATCAAACAAAACGTTATCGGGAGTTCTCCATTTACGTAATCTGTCACGTCCTAAGGACGCGTGGGTTTGTTTACATTCATTGGTTGACATTTGGTGTGACATTTGTTTTCTGAAATCAGTGCATGAGCGAGAGGCCGAATTTCACCGAGAGGGGTCACCTAATCTCCAAGCAGATGCTGAGAAGCCAACGTTACAGACACAAACCGCCTCGTAACAGAAAGAGACGGCTAGGAAAAAGGAAAACGCCACGATTTTGTCTCCCAACAGCTGTACCTGTATCTCTATAACCGCCCTTCGGCGTAACACACCAGCTTCGCAGTCACGCGGCGCGGCGGCAGCTAGCTATATTACACCGAACGACTAAGTGACCTAACCCTTGAACATCTAACTCTAAACATTGTTTAAAGCTATCTAGTGATAATGCCCCTACTGTACTTGGTGACAGCGAGTTCTACTCTGCAATAGTTCTAGGAAAGAATATTGAAAAGAAAGAATCTGCTTGAAGTTTAGAGCCTGGTCACGTCTGTACCGCCACGTAAATGTAATTACAATGTATGCAGCCCATAATGAAATGTATGATAACGCAATATAGTCTCCAAATAAGTATAAATACCCTCATCTAAAACTCAGTAGAAGACTTGAAATCAGGCTCTTGGGGACCATTTTACACACCCACTCCTAAACATTGAAACGACTTGAATGAAAAGTATTCGCTTCTTTGTCAGCTAAGCTGTTTTCTTCCATAGTGTGGAAACCTTCGAGCTTCGACTGATGATCATTCAAGTCCCGTCCTCCACCTTACTCAAAGGGAATACTGAGTTCCTCTGGAACAAAGAAGTACAGAGAGAAGTACAGACCCATCTATATTTTCGGCACAGTGAACAATGAGGGTGACTACATGGTAGCTGTTTGTTACACGACCCTTTAGGAATGGGAACAGAATAATAACATTTCAACAGATGCGTGTTAGCTACCCTTCATACACGCCATAAAGAACTGTAACCACTAGATGTAAGTAGATGCAAACGGTGAGAATACATCTTACCTACCGATACTTGGTTGGTGACATACGTTTGACAGTGCCTTGCATGAATAATAGTCGGGTTACCCAAACACACATAGAGCTACTATTAGATCTGACATAACTGATGTGCATACACTTTTGAAAGGGCACAGACACGATGTATTTTGTTGTCGAGTCTTTTTAAACTAAGTAGTTTCTTTTTGGTCTGGAAAGAATGAGTTATGCAAAAGGCGTGCTGCCGTGCTTAGAGCAAAGAAGTCTAGTTTACTCTAAAAGGTAAGCCAGTCCCTAAAAACGCCTGACATATACGACAATAACGTTTCTGTCCTGCAAATTCTATTTTCCTCGTGCAGAGATCGTCACAACATCTCGTTTGTGGATTGGCAGTTGGGATACTGAAGCAGAATACAAATTTCACTGCTACAGTCAAATGGCGACCTTGGAACGAACATTACCGTATTGCTCAATTAAGAAACCAGAATGATATTAACATTCCCAAGCATTATGATTACGGGGCTCATTATAACCTAATGCACATGAATAACCAAAAGGGCCGGGGACACGAAGCAATGTTAACTATTACGTTTTGCACAATATAGAACCCAGCTAGCCCTGGTGCTTATATATATAGAGAGGCAAATTAAATAATAATGAGAACTGAATAAGAACAAACTTCTTGGATAGGCAATTTTCAATAGACTAGTTACATTGTTTGTGTAGGGAAATGTCTTAATCTCACGATAGCAGACAGTCTAGAATGCAACGGGTATAGTAAGATTGATTAATAGTGTACACAGGTCAACGGCTACATCAGTACTACTATCGACTGAGAAATTTCTATCGATTTACCAAAACCAGGAGTAACGGAATAATCTATAGGTCTGTACAATTAGATGTCCGGTACAATCACAACCTTGTCTTGTCTTGACTTTGGCTAAAGTTTTGTTTCCCGTTGGACTATCGAAATTTTTCTTCACTTTATTTGCATCTCAATCAATAGTTCGTGGTTGTAAACCTGTTGATATTGAGATTACACGAGTGTCACTGACGAAAGGTAGTGGATGCTAGTTGAAACGTCTGGCCGTTTCCAAAATGATGTACAGTTGCTTTCAATGAGTAACTGTGAGTTATACATGAGAACGTACGTACGGACACCATTGACCACAATACTCCGTCAATTCACTAACCTCCTTCAGTGAGCAACAACAACGGTCCGGTATGCACTATGACATTTAATTTTGCTGTGCTCTCACACGGGCACATGCGACATTCCGTCCCCTATGACACATTTGGACCGAAGGAAAACATATTGTTTTTACTTCATTTCCTCTTCTCCAAACACTAACCTCTGACCTGGCCAATGACATGATTTGTTGACGTCTGTCACCATGGTGACTGGTGTTGGGTTACATAATGTTGCAAACTTCATAGTCAGCTGCTCTGCTCCTGTCACCATATACTAGTAGTACACGGTATGTGAATGTGTTTGAGTAAAAATTAACAAGGCAGACCATGTCCGAAGGTAAACATTATGCATTTGCTTTGCAAATGTTACTTCTCTAGTTCTCTTTTACAATTTATAAACAGGAATATCCTGCCAACCCTTCCCAGGACTCAGCAAGGCCCTGAAGGGATTAAGGATATATGTGCAAAGAAAAGCCTTTATACTCTGCACTATGTTAACGTTATACCTCTGGTGTGCCGCTGATAAAAATATTCATATCCTAGAGCAAGGCCTAGGGTACAACGACAGTGGGGCACAATGATTTGTAAAAAATAAAAGAGTGAATATCACCTTTCTTTATTATCCTTTCCTTTCCTAACGTTTATATGCATAGGGTCACGAGTAACTAAGTAACACATGCGCAAACTGCTGTAACTTAATCCCACAAATGGAAAATTAAGAAGAAGAAGAGAAGATGGTAGGAAATTAAGAAGAAGAAGATGAGAAGATGACAGTCAAATACAGTTTGTTTTTCGCTCACAGATAACTTCCCCAAGGCCGAAGTCACTGGGAGAGATGATGAGGGAATGACACAAGTCCATGCGAATGACGCACAATAATTACACGATTTCCTTCTCACGAGACTTAAACGTGAAGCGAATTGTCTGTAGCTGCCATTAATCTTATAGTCCGTAGGTTGCCAATTAACCACACTGTGACCTATACGTGACGAACTGTGCTTTCATGAATCTGTCATCTGTTGCCAAACCTGCCATGATCGCCAAGCCAACACAATCCTAGTCAGTCCCAGTCCTGCAGTCCAGCCCATATTCAACCGTCTAGCACGCAAGATTACGACTACATGTAGTATCCCCTTACCTTTTGAACACCGCCGTCAGTCCCTCTCATTCTCTAAATACGGCCTTGATCTTGTCAGAAAGATAGGCCTCCGTTTATCATGGCCTGGTTCGTCGCCGATGATTAGCCAATAGTGGTGCAGGCTGCTGAACTTATTTTTGGAGAATGTACATGACGCATTTGCCCCAAAAGGGTTGAATGAACGACACTAAAAGTAGATACATATGATCTTGCCGGCTTGCGTGACTATATTTCTGCCAAATATCGCCATGTCCAGAACATTGTATGATATCTCTTCCACAGTTCCAAAGCCTAACGTGACATCTAACCCACTGACTCCATCACTACGCTTTGACGAGCTCACTCGAACTAAACCGGCGAGGCCTGTGTCACTTGTACCCATATTAGCCTTGATGCCAGTCTTGTTAGCAGCTCCCAACTTCAACGCCAACCCTGCCTACTGTTGGCATCAGTTGACATCAGCGGGAGATACCAAAGCTGGCTAAGATCCAGGTTATACGGCCACGATCGGTGACTTCGCCTCTCAGGGTCAGCTCCGGTTACTAGAAAAGTGGGGCAAAGGTAAAAGAACGAGGAAATGTTTTAAAACGCTGGCAGCGATGTTGTGGAGGGATATCGTTAGCTATGCCGCTCTCGTCCCGTGTCGTGACGCACGCCTTGAGTTATCACACAAACTATCATAAATTTCAATGATTTGGAGCAAGTCACTGTTAAAACTCTCAATCGTAACTTTAATGCCTAGCCTCTGCCACCAGGCTTCAGAAGCGGCTGGACATAGTAGAAATCGTAACGTTACTCCTTTAATTTAGCGGATCAACTCCCCTGGCATGTTATCTGTCTATATGGCCAATTTCTACTCTTTCTAGCTACTTCTGAAGCCTTGTAGAGGCTATAAATCATCTCCAATGCTTTATAAATGAATGAAGACCTTTATTGTACGCAAATACCCATTGGGTTCAGTACAGGTCACAGGAAAGACGTCACAGTTTGCAATGAATATATACAATGTACTGTACAAGCTAGCACTAATTCTATGTACTATGGACATATAGTCTAATAATTACGATAATTTGGTTTCTTCTCGCTTCTTAGTAATGATGTAGATATAAGTACAGATGTGTTTTATAATCGAAGGTTTGTCTAAAACCATCAGAAATATGAACTTATCTGTTTTGCTAAATGTATGAAATGGGGAAACATACATTGCAATAGTTTATAAAGCTCTGCTCTCTCTCTTCGTTGTATAAACTACATTCTAATACAAAGTGTTCTTCATCCTCTATCCTATTTAGATTACAATGCTTACATATTCATCACCGGACACTGTTCAAGAGCGCCATCCTGCGGTGAACCGTGGGAAGTCAACTAGAGTCTTGCACAGCAAAAAGATTGTAATGACACCAGGATTCCACCCCCTGTCCTATAGGGTCAGTCCAGCCAGTGGGCAGCAGGCTCAATGGTGGATTACAACGCAAATGAAATGTGTCTCAAGTCACACATTTTTACCAGAGTCAAATTATGAAACACATTCTTCTTTCCTAAGTACTATGTTCTCCCTAGCAGAAAATTTGACCTTTTTGAGAAGAATTTGCCCAAAAGAAAAAGGCGGGCTCTACTGCGAAACTGAATTACGTGTACCTGCCCCTTCTTATTAAAATCTCCAAGCAAAATCTCTCCGGAGACCAATTGGGTAGTGTCTTGAATATCACCTTCCACATCTAACCCACTGCCCTGCAGCACTATGCTTTGACGAGCTCACTCACCAAGGTCGTTGCTCCTACTAAACCAGTGAGGCCTGTGTCACTTGTACCCATATTATTACTAGTCTAGATGCCAGTCTTGTTTATAATTGCAGGTCCCTGCCCTTTCCTAATCTCAAAAGCAGATCTCTCCGGGGACCAATTGCATAGTGCCTTGCCTTTTGGATACTATCTTGCAGGTTTGTCACGACTTGCCAGCGAAATAAAGATCTGCCTGAAGATTGATAACAGTTACAGCCCAAGCCTCCCCTCCGGCGTAATACCGGGGTCCGCGGGAATTCCCGAGGAGATTTCTTCGGGGACAAGACACGAAAGTTACTACACGAAAGTGACGTCGACATAGAGTAAGAAAAAGACAAGTTGTCTCCACATTAAAGTGCATTTTGCACTCTCTAGCGGACCAACTCCCTCGGCATGTTATCTCTCTATTTGGCCAATATCTATTCTTTCTAGCCGCCTCCCGAAGCCTGGTAGAGTCTAAAAGACATGGGCAATGTGGTGATAGCTGGTGGCCAGCCCGTAACCAGGGGACTGGATAACTGTAGTGTTTTGCCCCCGTCTGCTCGGAGAGCGTCCTCCTTCTTGAAAGTCGGCGGTGTGGAAGAAAATGAAGCATTCACCATGCGGGGTGAATGCCCTCCGTCTAAAAATAATCAAAGGCGTGTTGTTGTAGACGTCGACTCTATACGCCGGATGTATCCCCATACGTACAGCCACAACCCTATCAAACCACCTGACCAGTCACAAGTTACATTAAAACAGTTCTGTCAGATTTTACACACATATTAAATGTATTGCTCAACAGCCGCGCATTGTGCAATGTATATCAGTTAATCAACAATGCCGTACAAGACCCTCTCCAAAACAACTAATTGCAACCCCGCCCATTCTGGCATTTTTGGCATGTTTTTTTAGACCATTTTTCATTCATGACGCAAGATGACAACTCACTATGTAAACGTCACACCCTGCCCGACAGGTCACAAAACACAAACACAGTGGATCATCAACTATTCCCCGGGCTTAATGGAGACAAAACTCAGGTCGCTGACTATTCTTTGTGTGCCTTTTTCCTTTTGTGAGTGGGCCTAGACACGTCAAGAAGAAACGTGTGGTGTAGATGCCAGGGAACTCGCAGAGTGGTCAGACTGGTTCTTGTATACTGAGAAGTGCCCCTGGTGGTAAAGATGTCCCCTACAGCCGACTGAACTTCGGTGTACGTACCGCGATCGCTGAGTCGTCATGCGAACATGTACTCGTGCAAATCTTCTCAAATTCGAAATCGTCGTCTTCGCGCTTGGAATAGCCCATTTCGTGTTGGTGCGGCTGTTTCACCAGAGATCAGTGGAACGGGAGGAACGTGGCACGGAATGGCGACACTTGGAACCCAGAGGGTTAGTGGCACATAAATGTTACTTACAAATCTCCACAAGCACCACCGGCTAGAATATAGAAACTGTCTCCATTTTACCCATGACGAACCGCTTGGGGGTTATCACATACCAACGTTATAGGAGCATTTTGTTGTGTCTTATCTACTCTTCATTATAATTTGTTACATTTTAAGCGGTCGACACTAGTCCGACAGGCCCCTGGCTCACCTTGGCCAGGACAAAGACGTTTGGTCAGGTTAACCGTGGCAAAATTTCGATAACTAAGTTAAGGTGCAATTCAGCAGAGGGACCAAACAATGCACTAGTATCTGCCAAAGAAGATGTCAGTTCTTTCTGTGATATGGTGTAATACTGTCCCGGTGGGATAAGTGCTAGCAAGAAGGTCTAGATACTAGTAAAAGTCCTTTAATAGCCTCCTCGGTGTTAGTTATGCAGGCACGCAGTGGTCTGCACGCATTGCCCCGGGCGAGATTCCAATCATCATGATTATTGTTCGATTTAACCATGGAGGTAATTTAACTTGCTTGTCCGGTTATTGTTCCATTTTTACACGGGCTAGAGAGGGAGATTGAACAGTGTATACTCCTTATATAAACTGTGATATGTATAACTCCCTCCGTGGCAAAGCTCCCTCTTCATAGCCCGTGTTAAGTCACGCGTCGGTGCTCCCTCACAAAAAGAGTAACGCCGCCGCTGCACAAGTCAACTGTTGCCTTCAGGGCTACGATAAACGTCCTTCAATGGTGGGTCATCCGTACGATTTTGTGTTGGGACTTCTGCAAGCCACATTTGACAGAACAAACCGCCGACAAGGATCTAAGCACTCTCGGTAACAGTTGAATTCGGTTTACAACCGTACTATCCCCAAATGCATTCAGTTTGCAATCGCACATACGACGAGCACTCGACGAAATGTGACCAGGATGCCATTACATGATGTAGCACTAAAAACTTGTTCAACCTCATCTAAAGCTGCTGAATACCTTTATTGTGCATTCTGTATCAAGATTCGTGGTTATAAAAAGTGTTCCATTTGCCCTGCACAATTGGCGAACTTAAAGTAACACTCGCACGTTTTTTTGTCCAATTGCCAGGCCAGTCTTGTGCAATTGTAGCCAGGCAATTGGCGAGAGGCAAGAAAGGCAACTGGAAAACAACTCATGGATACAAACCGCAGCAGACACAGAACAGCTAACCACTACCCCTGAACCAAAGCCGAAAAAGGAACCGGGGTGGGAGAGATGGAAGGTGGGGATGTGGGAGGGGTTCGACTTCAAGAAAGTCCGGTTCATCAGGTGGGATATGTTGATAGATCATTTCTTGTGCTTATGTCTTGACTTAATTCGGGAGAGGTGGCATTACTTGTACCAATCTTAGACTGAAATACGCAATGAACGTCGTATTATGACAGCAGTGGTTTCTTGTCTAAAATGTTAATTGTGTAATATTCAAATCAATAGGATCAACATTCTCAAGCAAGTATATCTTAATCAGCATCAAATATTAATTCGGACTTTCACTCTATGTTGTTTTTTCTGGCATCCTTTGCTTGATCCTGTTTATTGATGCTACTACATGTTTTCATGTGAAAACAAATATGGAATAGACAGTACAATAACTGACAAATAGTTCTGGACTGGAGGCTCAACTTCTTTTGCTGCAAGAGGAAGATGGTGATGATGAGTGATGATGAGACAAAAAAGTAATTGGTGCGGTCGCCATTTGCATTCCTAAACTCTGTCATGTAAGCACGTTAAGATGTATCGCTTAAGTCGTTGACATGCACTGATCATTGATTTTTGCAGAGAATCCATCGTGAACAAGACGAACGTCAGCACCCACTGGTACTGCTCCAGAGACAACATGCCGCTACACTCCACCTTCCAGTTCTATGATGGGAAACAAGTTAGCCACAAAGTCATGGGCGGGACGCGCCAGTATTTACCGCCGGTAAGTACTGCAATGATTTGGTATGGTGCAGAGGGCAAGACTTCCGCCAGGCCTTCCTACAGAGGGTTAGAATGGTAGAATTCGGCAAAACATTGGGTTTGCAGCTGACTGGCCAGGGGAGTGGGTCCACCATGATACAGGGTTTCATTTCCGGGCAAATGAACTCTACGGTGGCTAAACTCCTATTGTCTTCATTACTAGGCGAAACCATAATACGATGAAGTGTTTATTCCTAAGATTTCTGTGTTGAGACGATTCATTTCAACCTTGAGACTTGAGTTTTAGGCTAGAATAAACAATAGATAAAGTACAGTGAGAGTAGCTAGCTTCCTGCTATGTGGTCAATAGTGTATTGAGGACAGCGTCTTTTTCTGGCGCCTTGAAACCACAAAATGTTTCTTTATGTCCAGGAAACCCGATTTCCCGACAAGCTGTTCCGGACCTGCAGCGTTGTCGGTAACGGAGGGATCCTCAGCGGCAGGGGCTGCGGCGGTCAGATCGACTCTGCTGAGCACGTGTTTAGGTGAGAACGTGCATCCTTCATCAGTAGCTTCGCCTCACTGTGTTTTCACACAAACATTGGTCAAAACGTTAGAATTAGTTACAAAAGTTAATTCATACGAATTGTAGCACAGGTAGGTGACCCAAGTTCGTTCCTAAGTTCCTAAGTATGCACCATCAGAAGAAAGAAAACAGACTAATATATGATACGAAAAGAGAAAGTTTGCTAACCAAATACACCCCGTCCTTTAGAATCAACCTACCTCCTGTGATTGGAGACTACCAGAAAGACGTCGGCAGGAAGGCAGGCTTCGTCACCATCAATCCCTCCCTTCTGACGGAACAGTAAGTGTGAGCGAAACTAGCCTGGATGCCAGACCCATAACACGATAGGCCCAGAGTTAGCCAGCGTGCCTGTGAATTAGGGCCTAATCGAGGGGGACTGTAATATCATTTCCTTGGGGGCATATTGGTCCTGGAGTCGAGGAACTGGCCTATGTACGAGCTAGACCCTGGAAACAGTCTGACATCCTGAAATAATATCAGTAGTGTGACAGGGCAGGGAAGGGGGTCCTATTTATTTTTCTGTAAAAAGAGAAGAATGAGTGAAAACTGCTTGAGTCTCATCTCAAGAAGTCTTGTTATTCGGCCTTTGGGGAACCACAGATCTGACGACAACCAGTTTTCTCCACCCATCTTAATTTTCTGTTCCTCTTAAAGTTTCACTTAGTGCCATGCCAGTCCCATCTTTTCCGTTACCTCCCTCTCTTCCTTTCTCCCTGTGCTGTTCCTTGCATGATGTGTCTAGCTACTCCTGACAATTCAGCTGTAGGATTTAGCAAATCAATAGGTAAGTGGAAACAGAGATTTGTACCGCAATGTTTAGAAAAGGATATTGCATTTAAACTGAACTTGGACAAAAACGCTGTCGACACGTAAAAACTGCCCTGACATTTTCATCCAACACCCACGTCCGATTTGTTAATGTTCTTCAGGTATGATTCGCTCAACTCAGACGTTGGCAGACAGAACTTCACTGCGATGCTCGACTCCTACCTCGGCCCGACCGACTTCTACACGCACCCGTTCTACAACATCAACAGCAGGCCGGTGGCCTACCGGGCCCTGCGCGTGGTCAGGAACCTGACGGACGACGGGAAGACCGTGCTCTGGTCACACCCCGACTTCCTCCGGGCGGCAAATACCTTCTGGAGAGAAACGGGGCGTGTCAAGGTCAAGAGAATCACGTCAGGTCAGTAGGTCAGGTGGACTAGTAGAACGAGACACTTACCATGTTGTGTCTATTATGATTGATTAAAGCTTATGTCAAATGATGAACACAGCCTTCCAGTTAGGAGAATGTTATCGACCATGCCGATAGCCAATGTAAACCGGTCTGTTACTCAATGGATCACCTTTACTTTCATCAAAAGCCAACTTTCAAATGCTCATTATTACACACCTATATCTTTCTGAAACCAAGCGATTTAATAAATGATTTATAGTTTGTATATATCTTGTGTATATGGAACACGTACAGTCTGTATCAGTAAACTGTGACATGCAAACGGTCTATCACATAAAGTACTTGTCGCTACACGAACTAACATTTGAATTTAGTTATCTATCTATCTATCTAGTTAGCTATTTATCTATTTCTGTTTTCTTCAGTCAGGGAAGACCTGCTCAGGGCACTGCTTTACAATGGCACCCTGAGCATCCACCAATGGTACATAATCACGATGCAAATGAGAGGGAATAAATACAATCAAACAAAATACAATCAATTTCTAACACGTTTATAATTTACCTTTGCCACATTTTCAAGGCCTGTTGGTGGTGACCATCGCCTTGTCCATGTGCGAGGAAACGCACCTGTACGGCTTCTGGCCCTTCGACCAGGACCTGGACGGCAACCCGCTCAACTACCACTACTACGACCGCGCGGTCACGCTGGGCAAGCGCGTCGTCTCGCAGAAGAACCAGTGGAGGGTGGTGGAGAAGAACAGGTAGTCACTTCTTTCTGCACTGCCCTAATTACACATAACAGCGAGATACCCTTTTCGGCAATTAAAAAAAATGATAGGTTGATAATCTTTCAGATGATATTCTAGTACACTAAGTCTTACTTTCAAGAGGTTCTAATTTTCTTTCAACAACTTTCAAATATTGCTATATATACAAACATTTTTGTGAGATTCCAATCGGTTTTTATAATATCTTGGCACGTCATTTCTGTCAGTCTTTGTATATCTTTCACTTGTTCATCGATTAATTGTTGTATTTGATTTTTTATAGGTTACCGTAATTCGTGCTTTGCTTGTCCTATGTATTATGTTGATGGCGACATGAATATAAGTGTTTTGTGAATATATGTTTCAATAAAAAAAGGTACCACAAGATGAAGACGGAGCACGACAGACTGGCCAGGCTGCACGAGATGGGCGTGGTGCGCATGCACGTGGGGACGTGTGACGTCACGGGACTGAAGGCCGAACGAAATGTGATGATGCAAAAGGACGTCAGAACACAGACTGAGAGAAGACAAACGTGAGACAGCACGACGTCAGAACACAGACTGAGGGAAGACAAACGTGAGACAGCACGACGTCAGAACACAGACTGAGAGAAGACAAACGTGAGACAGCACGACGTCAGAACACAGAGCGAGAGAAGACAGTGATCTCCGGGAGCCTCCTTGGCATACTTGTGGAGTGGCGGCGTTAATATTTTTTCCGGGGAGCGAAGCGAGTTTTGCCGGGCGGGAGTTTTGCTACCGATTTGTAACGGCAATCCCCATTTTTCGGTGCCGGGTTGCCGTTACAAATCGGATGGCACCCAGTGTAAACTCCTCGCGTCGCTCCCCGAAAAAATTAACGCCGCCGCCGCACAAGTTTGTGAAGGAGGCCAGATCTCCGGGTGCTAGGAAAGAAAATAATTCCATATCAGGGTTTCAGGATCGTGTGTCCTGTTTTGTTTTCAGGTATAAAGAACCATATATGCACACATCCTGTCGAGTACAATGTACAATATATTTATATATTTCAGAATTCACTATTGCAAAAGTCCATGGTAAAATTATAAAATGTATTGTCGATTAATTTCTTTTATTATAAATTACTATTACAAAAGTTCAAGGTACAATTGTGCAATGTACAATTGATTCAATCTTTGTCTGTTTTGTTTTTCGTAATAAACAAGCAGGCACATCCTCCAGTCATTGACTCGTGAACTAGTTAACAACATACGAACGCTTAAAGTTTTCAAACGTCTATCAAAGCCGACCACAGCAACTGACCTTAGCTATGGTGTTACCAATACTCCCGAGTGGCTCTATCCTAAGTCCAATCCAAAGACACGCGGTTCAACGACTTTGTAACCTGTTCTTTTAAATTGAAAAATAAAATATTGTCTATTACTTTGGGACTCATTTGTGTCTTATCCTTTGAACATTCTTATTGACAATAATAACAATTATTTGGTTTGAATTGAATCCATTGGGTTACCTGAGTGAAGGACTGTCGTTATCATTTGTATTCAAACACATGCCCAGGTTCAACAGCGCAGTTGAGATTTAAAAAGAAATTTCCTCCTTTTTTCTGAAGTTAAAAGAATTAATACCTGGCGGTAGCATGCCGCTTTTGACCCGATTGTAGCAAGCTATGCACATTCAGCACTACATTTCTATGATTTTCGTTTGGACAGAAAATAGATGACATGTATCGGAAGACCCACGAGCTCCATTCTGGTTATAAACGTTGAACAACATATCATCTGTCCAGCATTTGTTGATGACAACTGCAACTGTAGCGCACCTCAGTCTGGAGAGGCGTGTGAATTTTGCTGATTCCTCTCTCTGTATCTCTCTTAATTACTTTCGGCTCAATACAAAAGACTCGCTCCGATGATGTTGGGAAAAACAACTCCTGTCGACCAGAAATAGTCTCGGAGCGCGACGGCAAAGTCAAAAGCGCCGATCGAGGCCGCCTCTTCAGCGTGAGGACGCGAGGCGCGGGGGACAATGGCGGACAGATGGTGCTGGCAGAAGCAGCGCCTTGAAAGAAGCTCTCCCGAGCAGCTCTTCTGTTCCGCACTACCATAAAAGTCAGGTACGATCCTGGTTTTTTTCTCATACTGCCTCGGAGCCGCCCAGTCAGACCTAGTAACAGTACGCTACCGATTCACCGGTTTGCGGGGAAAAACAACCGTTCAGACAACTCGCATTCTTGACTCTCCTCGAGAGAAATTTTTCGACCAGCATCGGACGGGACCAGTAAAATGATGGAAGAGAGAGGCGACCAGTTCTTCGCGGACCTGCAGACGCTGGACCTGACCGTCGACTTGCAGCAGGAAGCGATCGGCGCGGCGGCGGCTCCCGGCGGCATGTTTCTGAACGCCGACCACGATCATCATCACCACGAGTATGCCGACGGGTTCCCGCCATTTTCCTACTCCATGGAGAACGTTAACGTTGCGTCAAACAACCACGCAGTCGACTTTGGCGGTGATGACCAGTTCAACAACTCCATGGCGGGCTCAGCGCAGTTCAGCATCTACCGACACTGTGAGCTGGAGACCGTCATCCCATCGCTGGGGGACAGGCTGGCTGCGCTAGATGAGAGGGTTGTCCAGGGTGCGGACTGGACGCCCGTGCGGCCCATCATGAGACGCTCTGGCGCACTGGAAAGGTAAGGCGTAAAGCCTCTAATCTCTACTAGGCTTCAGAAGCGCCTGCAACGAGCAGAAATTGGCCAAATAGACAGATAACATATATCCCAGGGGAGTTGGTACGTTGAAGGAGTACGGAGCGGCAAACGGGTCTGCTCCCCTGGCATGTTATCTGTCTATTTGATCTACTCTTTCCAACCGCTTCTGAAGCCTGGTAGAATATATAAAACCTCAGCCTCACAATGCATGTCTCTGGACCTCTGGCCTAGCTATTTCTTATTTTACGGTACATCAATTTCTTATTTGTTTTCCTCTTGTTTCTAGTAGTCCACTGCACTGCACTTTAACGTTACCGTCGTAATGCTAGAACCGGGAAACGCTTTGCCTGTCTTCGGGTCATAGTAAACTGTCATACTGTTGCCATACTGGCCTAACGAGAAAAACGCAAATAAGTTACTTCTTTTGTATCGTAGGTTGGTTCTAGCTATTTATGGGCGGTATCCACAAATAAAGAGACGCCTCACGTAGCTTGTTCGGGGGCTATTTCAAATGTTTAAATATGACCTATCAGACAGATGTCCTCATCCAGAGTATTTTGTTTTGAATTACATTGGATCGGATTGGATTGGATTGGGTGCCTTTAACCGTTACACGTTTAATTCCTGTCCCACAGTCCTCCGGAGGACGCAGACACAGGTTCACCCAAGCAGCAGCGCATGGCAGCCAACATCCGGGAGCGACGGCGCATGCTCAACATCAACTCTGCTTTCGAAGAGTTACGTCATCACGTCCCGACGTTTCCTTACGAGAAGAGACTATCCAAGGTAGGGACGGAATCACGTCTTAAACTCTTAAAGGAATCCAGTGCGCCTTGGCTCTAGATCTATCTATGTCAACCTTCAAAAAAGTCATCCAGTGCAATTTCAGGGCGACAAAACAGAAAATATTTCGGATGAGAAAATCAGTCTCTGATATTGATTTTTTTTTTAATATCTTTATTCAGAAAATCACATAAACAATACATTTTACCACTACAAATTTAAAACGCGAATTTATACCTGGTTATATACAACGACTATACAGCAATAGGTGGTCATAAGACATACAGGAGATATTACATAACTTAAACTACATAATTACAGAACAGATGTGGGCGAGTCAAAAGGAAATATCGATAGTCTGTGTTTTACGGCATGGAACGTGGGGTTGACATTGTTGATGGCGGTGCAGAAAAGGTACTATTTTGCTTGTAAGATACAATTGTTCAATGTTGTATTGTTTTGGAGGGGGGAGAAGTGACCATAAATAATTTCATTGTCGGAGAGAGCCGCGGGAAGCGTCTGATATTGATATTTACTACTATTTCTTATCACATTTTCGTGGTAATTTTCTACTTGAAATGCTTAAAATATCCCATAAACAAGCTAGGTGAGGAGTCCCTTTATTTTTGGTACCAGCAATAAATAGCTAGAATCATGAACAATAAAAAAAACTACTACTAAATTCAACAAAATTCAGACTGATTATGATACGATATGTTAGTCTGTTGGTATTCATTCATTCATTTATCAGCCTATGATACGAAACAAGCAACCGTGTTCCGCTCCGTTTTACATATCCTCACATATACCACTTTCACGATTTATACGAATACGTACCACATCCTCTCTGCATATACTTATGTATAACACTACTTCCACTCTAGATCGACACATTACGACTGGCCATCGCGTACATCGCGCTGTTGTCCGGGATAGTCCAGTCAGGCCTGGAGCCGTGCTGCTACATACAGCAGTGTCTAAAGCACGGGCACACAGACTCGTACACAGACGTCTGGATGACCAGTGGTGAGTGGACAATTCTCATTTCTTGTCATTAATGCTTTTCTTTTAGTCGTGGGGTCGTGGCGAAATACCAGACTGTTCGACTCGGAACCAAGAGGTCCCGGGTTCGAGTCCTGATATGCCACCGATCTTGCACCATGGGAAAGGCATTTAACACGACTTTCCTCACTATTCTCAGGTGAAAATGAGTATGTCCCCTTTATTGGTGGCGGCATTATTATAAGTTGAAAACCACGCCTTATGATTACATGTTAGAGTATAATGTTACATGTAGACCTGTTTTGATGTGATGGCTATTCAGCACCAAGGTCAGAAATCATAGTTGTATTAGTTGGAATGTACCCGCCACTAGTTATTACTAGCTTTCGACAGGTTTTCCTACTGGAGTTAGGATACTAGAATTCGGCAAACATATAGAGTCCGACTGGTCAGGGGTTTCATTTCTCACTCGGGGGCAAATTAACTCTACGGTGGCCAAACTCCCCTGGCCAATTATTCCTCTATTTGGCTAGATTTTACTGTTGGTGAACCTTCAGTGCTATTCTGGTGGAGACTACTTTTCTTACGACCCAGCAAAAACGTTAACGGGACTTCTTCGTAGACGTAGACCTATGTGATGGCTATTCAGCACCAAGGACGTGTAGGCCAGACTCAGTTGGTATGTCACCGCCGTTCTGAGTAGACAGATTAGACAATGTAGTAGCTAGATGTGGGATTTCGTGCGTCGTTTCGTCCACTAGACCTTCTTACCAGGTAGACTTCACCCTTTCCTGGGGTCGAACTGGCCAGGGGATTGGGTCCACCGTTAGGATTTCATTTCCCCGCCATTGATGCCATTTTGCTTTTTGTTTCTTCCGATTTCAGATCTAACGGCGCGATTGTCTTGGATCACGTGGGAATGATAGGGCGGACTGTGACCGAGGGAAAACACTCCTCCAACTTGAATGTTCGTTCAAATATAATTATCAAAAGTGAGAAAATCGTCATATGGAATTATGAAATATTAGATGCACGAAATACTGCTTACTAACGTATCTGTCATATGTAGGCACCCGGTGGTCTTAGTTCGTGATTTCTGTGCTTCTTGTGAGAACAGTTCTCGTCCCAACAGATGCCCAGGAAAACATCAAGGTGGGAATAATAGACCAAAGGTCCTACCGCATTTAATCCGACTGATCTTCAGTAAGGCACTTGATGAAGGGGATTTTCGCTTTAAATACAATGGCGTCCACACATTACACTACCATTGCGTCTTTGTTTGTGAAGTGGTATTTTTGTATCCAATCAGAACAACAACAACATGCACAGCTGACTGTCGTCCATAACTGTTCATTAAACCGAAGGGTGGAATAATTAATTGCTGTTGTGTGGTCCTTTTATCTAATATCTAATCCCATCAACTCCCGCAATGCTTTACATTCAAGGGATGGTCTCATAAGTTGATGAAACGAGTATCTTTGGGGTATGGGGTATGGAATACAAATATAAGTGTAGATTTTTGGAAGGTACAAAAAATCAAACCAAATCAATATTTAGTCCATGTAGGTGGCCAAGCTTCCGGGTTTTACTAATTCTCTTATGTTAAATCTACAGAAGAATCTAAATATGATGATTCAAGGCCAGACATCAAAAATGAATTTGTTGCCTAATACCTAGGCTGTATTGAAACAAATACTCATCTGGTAGACCTCTTTACCTTTATTCTTGCTTTATGTCATTTCTATTTATCTATTTCACCAGAAGATCACACAGCAGATCTCTGACCTGTTTTTCAGGTGTCCCTGGATACATAAAAGATCATTGCAGAACAAAACACTGTAATCCTAATGTAGACAGAATTACATGTTAAAAATACTACTAGTGAGGGCAGAGCTTCATTGTGTAGACATTTCAATTTCACATTTCTCCCCAGTGACAACTGAACACAGGCAAAAGAAGCTTGTCCTTACAATTCAATTCATATGCTCTATACAGTTCCTAGCTACTATATATGGCACAATCTTCTGGAATGGTAAGACAGATACTTATGTAATATGTATTGCCTCCAGCCTAATGCTTTAGTACAATGAAGTTTACACATTATCCAAGGCCTGTACATGCACATGGATGCATCATATATTGAAATATCCCCTTTCTATTGTGAACATGCACAACAGGATGATGAAGGAATGTCTCCAGCTAATATACGTTATTGCTGACTATATCTAACTCCCCTCCCACCAAATAACAAACATATCGATACATATGAAACTTCATAAGTAAAGTATCTATCTTAGAAAGTACCATAATGCTTTTTTTTTAGAAATTATATACAGTTTGTATTGCACTTTTTTTTAAATGTAACTTTATGGAATGATCTGTGCAAAACAAAGTTCCTTAGCCTAGTGCCATGTGTCTCCCATTTGTTTCAAATTTCTACTGAAGACTGACTACATGTGTCTTCCTTTTCATCACTTATGATAATATGCTAACCACTATGTTATTTCTGATGCTATAGCATTAGATAGTTTAGGAATGTGCACTCTTCAGGACACAAAGACTTGCTATGACTTACGTATCACATACAGACAACAACATTTGTATCTTTTGATACATTTTTACCGCCTACGTATAGACACTGGCGCTTACTACTGAAAAGTCTGCATTTATTGAATTCATGAATCCTTCATGCGAAAAATTCTGTCTCGGGTGTCTCTCCTTAAAACTTTACCATGATCTGGTGCCCTGGTGTACTCTCAAGTGAGCATGTCTCCGCCCCCCCACCCCACACACACAGCAGTTCTCGTCTTAAATGATTTGTTGCCTGGTGACCACAGACCTAGTCTCTGGTGATCTGTTGCTTGGTGAGCTCTAGTCTTTGATGATCTGTTGCCAGGTAACTACAGCTCTAGTCTCTGATGATCTGTTTCCTGGTGACCACAGTTCTATTCTTTGATGATCTGTTGCCTAGTACTGTTGCCTAGTGACCATACTGTTGCCTAGTGACCACAGTTCTATTTTTTGATGATCTGTTGACCACAGTGCCAGTCTTTGATGATCTGTTGCCTGGTGTACTTCCAGATAAGCATATCTGCCGCCCCCCCCCACCACCAAAGTTCTATTCTTTAATGATCTGTTGCCTGGTGAACCCCCTCCCTACCACAGCTCTAGTCTTGAATGATCTGTTGCCTGGTGTACCCCCACTCTACAGTTCTAGTCTTTGATAATCTGTTGCCAGGTGTACTCAGCTCTATTCTTTGATGATCTGTTGCCTGGTGTACTCCCAGATGAGCAGTGCGCCGCTGACGTGCACGTTGAGGGACCTGACGATACCCTGCTGGGGGATCTCCACACACACGTCCAGCTGGTGGATCAGCTCCACTGGGATGCCCTCCTTCTCATTCCTGTAGTACAACACAAAGACATTTTCACACATTGCCATTTCAACCTGCCTTTCTCCTGCAAGCATCTAGTGCCACTGAAGAAAGGTAGTGGATGCTACCTGAAACATCTGACCACTTCAAAAAATCATGTCCAGTTGCTTGAGTAACTGTTTTTTGGCATATCTTATTACCACATTGTCTAACCTTCACCGACATACAATGTTGCTAGGTTGTCATTTCTACGTCAATCAGAGGATATAACTAGGGCAAACAGACATGAGAAGAAATAGCAATGACATCATGATACAAATTAGTAAAACAACTGACACATTCCAAAATTCTATATGGAAATACGCATACAGTCAAACCTGCCCAATAAGTGGTCGTCTTGGACAGGTTGCCTTCTTGGATGTACTTCTTTACTGTACACATAAATGTTAGCCCAGAGCCAATACACTTCTTTACTGTACACATAGAAGTTGGCCTAGAGTCTACATGTACACGTATGCACTAAGGAAACATTCCACAACCTACCCAGGTTTGTACTTCTTTACTGTATACATAGAAGTTGGTCAAGAGCCTACATGTACTACGGACTACTACTGTCTGTCAGTCACAAAAGACTATGACTTTACTGCGCCTACATGTATGCACTAAGGAAACCACAGACTACCCACCCCAGCAGGAGTAGAGACTTGTCGGGAAATGTGAACTCCGTCAGGTTCCTGCTGTCTGCAGTCTGCTCCACCCCGATCAGGAAGTACCCCTGCCTCCTCATCTCCTCCACATACTCAGCCAGCTCACTTGGTCTCACCTGGGCAACAGGTGTGGAGTTCACGTCATGCATCTTTAAAACATGTGGAATTACTAATCTGGAAGCAGATCTTTTGTGGCTGCAAGTATCAAATTGGCCAAGCAGCTCACCTGGTCTGACCTGGGGAACAGGTGCGCAGTTCATGTTCATGAGATGCATTTTTAAAATGTTCTGTCAGCTGAACAGAATGCAACTTAAAGTGTACTGTGTAAGGCAGGTTGGGGAAAGAAAACAAATATGTACAGGTTACATGCAGGCAGACATTGGAAACACCTGCACGACTTCCATGTTGACTGCACCAATGCTATAAGCTAGGAAGTGGATACATTCCTCAAACTAAATTATATCTTTCACACTATAGTTGTCCCTCAGTAAGACATCTGGAGCCGCACAGCTATCACTTAGGAAGTATGAACAAAAGTTCTAAATGGGAACTATGCGTCTTACTGATCATGAGGGACAGCTGCGGTGTGAAAGATGTCAGCTTGTGGAATGACTCCACTCTACTTTATATTACCTGCACCAGTGCTGCACAGTCAGTTATCCTTTTAAAACCCACCTCCTGTATGTTGACCCAGCCCTGTGAAGACACGCTCAGCTGTTGAAATGTTTTGTCCTCCACGTACTTCATGCTGCCCAGTACCAGGGTGGACACTCCGAAGATCTCACAGGTTCGACACAGACCTAAAACATAGGTTGCAACCTTAACAACATACCCTCACTGTGTCCCAATGGAGGAAAGATACAAAATTTAATAATAAGAACCATTACTCCACAAATGCCACAGTCTCATTTCTTTTTCAATTCCATAATACAAGTGTACATGTAGTACACTGGCTTCAAGAGACTGCTCCAAGTTGATTTTCCAAGGCCTTCTGAGAGAGAAAGCCTGCACGCGCACACACACACACAGCCCAAGCCTCCATCCCCAATAACACACCCACAGCCATGACAGTTTACCTCCCAGGTTTGTAGGCTTGTCGATGAGCGAGGCGACCACCACCAGGTGACCTTTGCGTACGACCTTGATGTGCATGTCGGCCATGTTGAGGTGTGGTTCCTCCAGGGTGTGCCTCCAGGTGATGATCTTCTTCTGCACGTTACCCTCCGCAGGGGGCTCCGACGGGCTCTCCTCAGGCTTCTTCTCATCTGATCAAGTTATTTATGAAACATGATGAGCCATGCGTTGATGAAGGTTAGACATCCAGGTAAAAGATACTCGTAAGAAAATTCAAACTCTACTACTGGATCAGTTACGGATTTTTTTTATTTCCGGACGTTTCGAGTGACATCCATCACTCTTCTTCAGCGTCACAAATGAACAGAGAACCGATT